TCAACAAGACATAATAAAGTCACGTGTTATCAACAAAATATCTCATTCTGAAAATCGTAGACTTTTAGGAAATGCGCACGAAAAATGTTGAAACGAAACACGGTCTTTCTGAGGTTTAGAGAAACGGACATCAAAGAAAATTGGATGTTATTAGTTAACACACATGAGTCATTAAGGTAAACAATTCCTGCATGCAGTCACTTTGACAGACTTTCTATTCATGCTGGAGGCCATCGTAAAACCCATGGTAGTCACGCCGAATCACAGCCTTCAGATCCATCAGATACTTGAACTTTGTTGCCTTTACTTTGAGAGGTCCGGAATAAAGGGCAACAACATTCCCGGATGAACCGTCCGACACCTTAGCTCGTCTCGGAAAGTCTTGGTATTCCATCTCACTGTAATTGGTTTTGTATTGCATTGTTCCATCTGGACAGTACTTCAGTACTCTAAGACACATTTGTCTCCAGCCTTCACACCAGGGCGAATGGAGCTGTATAAGTTCACACTCGTGAAATCTTTAAAGAATGTGTGGTCAACATACTTAACGTCGTATGGTTTAGATGGCCTAGCAGACGTTATGATGTCGACGTAATTGGCAGGTGCAAAAATGGGTCGATTTCGCATTCCCCGTTCAATGGCACTGTGTACGGAGTCATACTTTATCTTAGTGTGGCCTTTTTCTAAATTTTTTTGATAAATGGTTATACCTTTTTCAATCGCAATGCTGAGGAGAGTGTTAGCCAATGTGATGTTCCTATTTTGGTACATACACCCGTCGCTGTATATGGTAAATGTCAAAGAGTTGCCAATCTCGCGATGTATGTAGTCGTGAATACAAGAGGCAAAAGTGTTCGCTGTAAGGTCACTTTCACCCTCATGCCAAAAGTAGCAGCAAATTTCTCGAGTTGCTAGATCATACAAAGTGCAGTTATGACCGGCCAACTTACACTTGTAGTACATGGCACTGGCCTTCAAATTGGGAGCCAACAGCACGGTCTTCAAATCTGTTGATATCGCTTTGCCGTTGCCAGATAAAGCATCCTCTTTGTCTCTTGCCTTCTCCTCTCGTGCTTCAAGTTTCCGCTGTATATGTTCCGCATACACCTTGTCATTTACATTATCGGTGTCGTGTCCACAGCAAATGTCACATTGATCTTTTTTCGGATGAAATATTGACACATTCTTCTCACTTATAATTTCCCGAAAGGTTCGTTCGCTTAGATGTTCATTTTCATAAATGTTACATAATTCTTTAAAAGACTGTATGTCGGGCTGTAAATGTAACCTGTTGGTTGATGTCCTGCAGTAATGAGATGGGAGTTTAGGTAAAGAGTCAATAAATTCTGCACCCAGCTTTCTTCTGTTTGCGTTGAAATCGCTTGATCGCCCTGGTGTTTTAGTCAGTACTGAAGATTTGTGTGTAGCATCACTTGAAACCTTTGTCCAATTCAACACCGTCCACTCCTCAATACTGAGCGTTGACAGGAACATATTCTTGCATACTTTAATGCGGATATCACCTTTTTTCAGATGGTAACACATAGAACGGTTTCGTCGTGACTGCCCTGTTTGCTAGGTCTTTCTTTCGGGTTTCTTTGAGTCAACCATTCTTGATACAAAAACCTTTTTCTGGTCCCAGTCCACGCTCCAATATCCATTAAAGATCTCAATTCTTTCTTCTTGTGAAAAGTCTTTACATGATGTCTTATTATGGCAAGATTTATTGCAAGTTGATGGACCAACAGACCTTGGAGCTTTGCTTTCCGAATACAGATACTTCTCGTTTTCGTTTTTCTTTGGTCCATCATATCGTTTGCCGCTCATACGCAAGAGTTTGTTTTTGTTTCTTTTCCAATTGTCCTCATTCCTTTTTTTCTTGTAACTTCTGTTTTGTTTATCTTCTGAATCTGTTCATCCTTCATCTGGAAATGCACCTTCTGTCTCTTGCCTTGTGTCACCACCTGTTCCTGTCCCTTGCCATGTGTCACCACCTGTTCCTGTCTCTTGCCTTGTGTCACTACCTGTGCTTGTCTCTTGCCTTGTGCCACAACCTGTTCCTGTCTCTTGCCTTACATCAATATCCACTGTGATCTCTTTCCTTACATTGCTGTCTACAACTACTTCTTCCCTCACTCCACAATATATGATTTTCCGTTCCCAAACACCATCTCTGAATATGTCTTCCGTTATTTCCTCACCCAGAGCTATCTGTTCTGGTATTCCATCATGATCATTCATTACACAACCATCTGTCATTGTCCGTGGCCTTACACCTCTCACATTATCTGACTCTGTCCGCTCTCCTAAGTCTTCATCTGGTATAATGTGCCCCATATAATCTACATCAGATTCTGTACTATCAGACCCGTCCAGTTCAGAATCCCTCTCATGACATGATAAATCACGGGCTCCACTTGGTGAAGAGTTGTCCAACAATCTGAATCTATTCATTCTTTTTTTCTTTGGTGGAATTCAATCCGGGTCTCCGTCCTCAAATATATCTGAGTCTGTATCATCCTGGTGTTCTTTCTTATTTTTAAGCGCTAACTGCAGACAAATATTTCCTCTTGACAGCGTGTACTTTGAGAACCGCTAAGCATCCATTGTTACACATTGGATGGAATCTAAATTCAATTGTGATATATGTACCGTCTTTCTTCTTAATTGTTATTGATCTTGGAGTAGTTTATAAAAGAATAATGCTTTCCTCTTTGAACAAATTTCCCGCATTCCCGATTCCACAGAATATTGCATATGTTCTGTCTCTCTGGATGTACTGTAATGTCTTCCTTTTGTTTCAACCAATTGTTATTAGCAGGCAGTGTGTTCCGAGAAGAAACTGGATCATTCAGCGCCCATTTTATTCCAAGTAATTAAGTCTAATTATGAACACTGCTATTAGGACCAGAATTCCTAAAATTATTATGTTAAATGTTAGTGTTTCCCAAGCAAGTAAAGACTGAAAGTTTATCTTGATTTACTCGACATAAACCATCTACAGAAATCACACAAATAATGTCCAGCCTCAATATCATCCTCCGTTGCGTTAGGAGGTATGTTGTCTATGCACTTAAAATGGAAATGTCGGGTATATGCAGAGCAAATTAGCCATATTGGTCCATCAGCATCGAATAGTAAAGTTCGCTCTTGTTGTTCCAGATGCCCGGCATCATTTGGGGTTCATGTACATATAGCACATATTCCTTCGTCTTCGGAGTCAGATCCTGATACAATCTGAAACCCATTAAAATCAAGTAAACACACCAGTTAAAGTCAGTCGTCATACAGCTTCTCTAAACATGTTATATTTCATAGTTTTATCATTTAGACTATTCTGAAAACATACTTTTATTTCAACAGGATATTTGATAGAATATGTCGACATTCAATGTTCTTAATACAAATAAAACTTATTTTTACATGTATGCAAAACCACGTAAGTCATAACTGTGGGTTGCAAAACCTCACAAGTGAAGTATTTTCCGCCTCGTTACTACGGATTATAACAATCAAAACCACGTATGTGCAGAAAGTTACAAAACAATAATATATTTCTTGTATTGTTTATTAATACGACAAGTACTTGCTACAGAGCTTTTTCTAATTCCTTTTCAATCATTTAAGCAATATCTTAACAAAAAGATACCTCTCAAATCTGACGAGCATGACATGAAAGATAGCACATTTTTTCTTGTATGATAACTTGCCTTTCTCGGAAAAAAAATAAACTTAGGATGCATCTTATTTAGTTGACAATAATTGTTTGAACAGTAGTTAATCAATAAAACTCACATGTTGGTCGTGTTCTCGTCTCCTCTCTCCTTCTCTCATTTTCAGTGCATTTGCGAGGTTTTGATACCCGTTAATTTTCACCAATGAAAATACAAGTTTTTGTCACATGACAAAAATAGTTACTTCTGATTAGTCTATAGTTACAAGCTTTTAATACATGGTGTAGTATGGCGGGAAGGTTACAATTCATGCAAAACCCTGTTTTCAGAAAAATGCAAGTTACGAGGTTTTCACTCCCGGTCGACGACATATATGTATGTATTATTATTATTATTGCAAAAAATACTAAACAGTTTTGAAAGGTGGAAAATATATTATATTAATATACAGCTAGATTCTAAGAGTATGATATTTAAAAAGGCTGAAATATGTATTCTTTCTATATATATTTATTTATATATTCATGTTTCTTATTGGTTAACGAAATGTTTGTATAATTGTAAGGAAAGGGCTATTATAGGCAATGCACGTTCCCAATCCATTTGTTAACGCTAACAATAAAATAATTTTGAAATGAAATCCTTTGTAGAGTATATGAAGTATCTGATGTGGAATATCAAATCTTTTATATGAAGTATCGGATTACGATGCAAGATAAAATTCAGTATAACACTTCTGTCGTCAATAGTACTTTGCGTTATAGTTTGCTATGATTGAATGAAATACACAAACATCACCCAAAACAAATTCTGCACTTGTTAAAGGAACCAATTAAAATGTTACAAACATATTCTGGTATATCTCGATGATTACTGCCACTGCAGTGTTTGATACGATTGTAAAACGACATGCGTAATTAGCATATTTTGATACAGATTTGAATCAGATAAAGTAACCTTTCATTATCTTAATGTGTTCTGGTATCGGTGGTCCAATGTGTTTATTGTTGATATCGCGAGCAAGACAGATGAAACGAGACACGAAAAATTTTGCACTTAGGGTTGTTTAAGTGGCTCAGTTGCTATGAATAGCTGTAGTATATGTTGATTTATTCAAAAAACGTTGTATTTGTTTGCTGCCATCTTAATAATGCAATATCTAAAGCAACATTGAATGCATTAGCTTTTTTATTTTTCTAAACCTAAAATCACATAACCATGATATTCTTTTGAAACATGAAACATATTCATTTCAGTTGAGCATGTTTTTCATATTATTTACAGTACTAATTCTTAACATTTGTATTTCACTGTCAGATCTAGAGCATGGATTTGCAGCTTCTTGTCTTCTCTCTGGCTACCTTCCGTTTTGTCTGCTGTCGGGCGTGTTTCGTATCAGACGATGGGAAGAGAGCAGATTGTTCGAATCAACATTTGTACGAAATACCCAACCTATTCAACGGGACTGAGTGGTTAGACCTCTCGGAAAACAATTTTACAACTCTGACTAACTTATCATTTGCAAATCTGCCTCAACTGAAAATACTGAACATTAGCAGATGCCATGTCCATCACCTGGACGGACAAGTGTTTTCAAACCTTGGAAATTTGCAAACTTTAAGCCTGAGTCAAAACATGATTAACATTTTACACGAAAGATTTCAACACTTGCGTTTCCACAACAATCCTTTCCTGAAACATTTAGATTTATCCTTCAACACAAGGGCAGTGTTAAAACAGAACGATGGTGTGTATCCGGACCAGGTATTCGCGTCGCTTTCAAGTGTGGAAGATCTCATCCTGGACCTTCTACCAAACCCTGTTTTCGGGGAAGGCTTCAGTAACATGACAAATGTTAGGTCACTTATATTTCGGGATTGTGCTATAATGCATTTAAAAAATGAAACATTCAAATATTTCATAAATCTGACGAAACTGACCTTCTTACAAATGTCCAACTGCCAGGTCCATATTGAACCATGGGTGAAAGTGGAGACAGCGGTCCTACAATATTTCCACTCTCTAGAATCACTTGATCTCTCCGGGACAATGATAACATTTCCTGTTGCCATGGATATTCTGTATGGGTTAACTGTGACAACCAATCTGAGCACTCCTGTTAGGACAATGAAAACTCTTAATTTATATAACGTTAATCCACTGAACCTTTTGTGGTTGTACGATGTAAACTATACAGTCAAGGTAACAAAATCCATGGCAAAGTACATAAAACATCTGTGTATTGAAGATTTGAACATAGGTAAAAATGGAATCGTGGAACTGGATGTAGATGCGGTAGAAAGTTTCACGGATAATTCTTGTTTGAGGCGTTTGATATTGCGTGAGAATAATGTCTTATTTACGCTTCCGAAATACTTGTTTATTATTATGAAATTCTTAACACAAGCTGTAAATCTCCAGGAAATAGATTATTCCTATATTGCAATTCAATTTTCAGATAATGTCGTGGATATCCCGAACACTCCTGGAAACATGAACCATGAATATAGCTCTGATGAGAGAATAGAATGGCATTCATCTGCGAGCAGGCAAGAACAGGATCGATGCCTTGTGCCAATCTCGTCAAAACGTTTGAGTCGAATCCGATTCTCACACTTATTGTTCCCTTTCTTTTTCCAATGTGACATCGATGTTTCACAATCACCAATGTTGACGTATGTTGACTTTTCTTACATGAATATTGCTAGCATGGACTTTAAAGTGAAAGGAGCAAATCTCTCCTTTCTCGACGTCTCTGGAATAAGCTTTGGATACTCGGGCGGTAGATTATTTAAAAATCTTGTCGGTGTTAAAAAATTAGTCATCCGCGACGCAGATCTTGATAGAGCGTTTAGCAACGGTAACTTTATTTTCAGAAATGTAAATCACTTAGACGAAATTGATATGTCCTCAAATCATTTAAACACATTACCAAATGAAGCACTTGAGGGGTTAGAGTTTCTACAGAAAATTATTTTAACCTGGAATTTTCTTAACGATTTTCCTCATGGATTGTTTAAAATGACTCATTTGACTTACATCGACATTAGGTATAACAAGCTGTTATCTCTCGATAAGGCGACGCGTGATTGGCTAGATGAAAAAGCTAATGGTATTACTGTGTTATTGGACGGAAATCGTTTCACTTGTACGTGTGACACGGCGGAGTTTGTTTCATGGATTATAACGACAAAAGTCGAATTTAAGAAAAAAACACCGAACTACAACTGTACTTTAAAAGATGGATCGATATCCAATGTAAGATATGTGTACGATAATCGAGATATTTTCTTTAAAGAATGTAACAGTCATTTGTTTTGGTTACAATTTTCTATATCTGCAATAAGTTTATTAGTCTTTGTCATCGTGTTGGCTGTAGTTTGTCACAAGTTCAGATGGAGAATTCTGTATTATTTCTACAGGAACTGTAAAATCAAACCCGGCTTGGAGGACACTACCTCGTATAGTTTTGATCTGTTCGTTGCTTACACTGCAGCAGATTCACCCTGGATTTGGCAACAGTTGCGACCTAAACTAGAATTACAACATAATATACAGTTATGTTTGCATGAACGCGACTTTGAAATTGGAGAATCTATTTCTCAAAACATCGTGAACTGTTTGCAAAAGAGCAAGAGGATATTATTTGTAATATCAGCGGAATATATCAATGCTAGGTGGTGTGACTTTGAACTTGAAATGGCCAACATGGAACGGGTCCAGCGAGGTTGTACAAATTCAATTATTGTGGCTATTAAAGGCGAAATACCGGCGGATGAAATGCCTCGTACGGTCAGAAATATCTGGCAACATGTCACATGTATAATATACCCACTCGATGAAACAGACATGGACGCATTTGAACTGTTCTGGTGTCGACTAAACCACAGTGTCATCTCTTAGTATCCCGCCATGGGAATGAGTAGTCAATGTAATATGCTTAGTCCAAAACTAGCTTCAAATTTAAAGGAGCGAACATCTCGTTCCTTGAAGTCTCTTGAACAAGAGTTAGATACGTGGGCAGTAAGCTATATGAAAATCGTGTGAAAAACAATGTGATCTATAATTTAGACCTTGACAGACCGCTCAGCAACGGTTAATGTATTTTCAGAAATGAAAATTGCGAAGATGAAATAGAGTTGTCCTCTAAACGAGGCATGTAAGGGTCTAGGGTATCTTCAGGAATTTCTCATAAACACTAAGATAATTGATATGAGCAAATAAATCGTCATTAAAATCATGCATGATGGAATGTATATATATATAGGTATTATCTTTTTGTGATGATCTATGCCTTTCATGTAGTTAAAAGAATCACTTAGAGTAGTAGATAAGTCGTGAAATCAGCGTATACTCTCTTGCAAAATATTGATATTGCCAGCTTAAATATATGTTTGTTGTTCTGTATAAATCAATAAAGTAGATTTTGTGTTGCTGAATTCTTGTCTTATTTATTACCGCTATTTGAAACTGATTTTTCACCACTGAAAACCCATATTAAAGTATGAAATTCAAACTCAACTAATAACGTTTGCATAGATGTATTGAACAAAACAATGAATGACATAATGTGCATGCACAGTCAACATGAAATAGTTGTTTAAGAACTAGTAATATAATCTATGTTGTATATTTTATGGACATGATCGGAAAAGCATATCTGAATTCATATGTCGCCAATTAGTCTGAAATCAGCGTTATTTGGTTAAATAACGAATCATCGACAGTACGTTGTACACAAGAAAAACTTCCCGTATATAGGTGATAAAGCGTCTCATCGGGTATTTTGTAATTGTATGTAAATTTCGTGTAGATAATTCTTCTGTAGATGGCCTTTTGAATGTGATTGTAACGAAAGTAGTAACTGCCATGACCATTCGCATTATTAGCCATCGACGTCAGTTGACATAAAAGATAGCGACGATACGGTCAGTCTCCAGAAGTGACTGTGTAGTGACAAGAGTAACACGGGATTGAACGAAAGCACTCCTACTTGATTCTCGGACTCGAAAGAGGGGCATTGAGTCGTGGAATGGTCAATGTTTTGGCAGAGGCAACATACAATTTAGATTATATGTTTGAAAGCAAGTTGGTGACACAGACACATTGGACCTCTATTTTATACAATGAATCTATCAATGCCCGATAAATGGGGAGATCAAAACACCACTTAATCTTAGGATCAACAATTACAGAAACGCCCAGACCTGCCTGTAACAAGACATTGCAAATTGCAAAGCCATCCGTGGCATGACATGCAAGTTATACCCATTGAAAACTGCAATAGATTGGGTGACCAGCAAGGCATCAGTAAGGAACGACACTGGATCAACCAACTCCAAACCTGCTACCCACTCGGCATGATCGATAAGGAATTTTATGGAATTTTCGGCCTTATAACTACACATACATTCACTAATTTGTTTACAATTGATCTTCTTATTTTTAATCAAACAATTGTTTATTTAGTGTGTGGCCGAGATGTACCGGTAGACTAGTTTCCTCGCAGTGTGAGGCAATTGTTTTCGTTGTGATTACATATACGCTTCTTGTCGACAGTGCAAAATACACCGAGTTTTATATGATCTAATTGCAGTATAAATACATTATTTTTTCAAGTAATGTACAAGTTGTTCTGTATCAGAAGTGTCTTGTTTTATTATCTATAAGCTTCCAGTGTATCAAGTTTCAACCAAATCCATCAATTCGTTCTCAAATTATTGTCTGAAAACTAAATTGTGACAAGATTCTATTTTTAGTAACAGTGACCTTTGTAGTTGATATTTTGACCCAAAACAAAATCCCACACTATATTGTCTTATAAACTACCATTGTATGAACTTTGATCCAAATCCATCAATCTGTTCTCAAGTTATCGTCTGGAAACCAACATCCGGACAGACAGACGGACAGATGGAGACAAACAATATAGTCCCAACCGATTTCACCGGCAGGGGACTAATAAGTGAAACAGCGAGGTTTACTCACGTTTTGGAGACACGTCTGTTTACTTTCGACGTTAAAAGAGCGTTTCATGTAATATCAGTTCAAACCATGGGAGATAACTCCAATTATTTCACTACAATACTATCCTAGTAACCTCAGTGGTAGCTTGTGATGTACCGCCTGCCAGGAATGTCTGACCAGACTGGTATGCAGTAGCAAATCATCTCTCGTTCATCGTGGGTAGCAGGTTTGGAGTTGATGGTCCACTGTCGTTACTTGCTGAGGCGATGATGGTCACCCGAACTCCTGAAGTGGTCAATGGGTACCATCTGTATGTCATACCATGAATGGCTTGGTATGTTACAATTTCCTGTTACAGGCAGGTATCACTATACGTGCATAAAAGTGTTAAAAACGTATTCATAATGACTCTATATTTGGATAGTGTATGTGTTATGTGATGATACTACCCGTTCAAAAAATTCCTGATAATTGCAAGGGAGACAACCTGCAAGGCTTTTTAACGTATATATATTGCAATATGTCCACTTGATATAAACATGTTACACTTTATGAATATTGTTTTGTATTTTTTTTTTTTTTATATATAAATGAAACATGTGTACCGTAGATATAGATATCCTTTTCGGTTTATTGTTTCTTATAGTCTTAAAGCATCTGTGGGCTTTTTTTACCAAAATTTTTGATAACTAATTGAAATGCTTAATGTGCAGAAACTTATATCTTCATGGTAACTTATTCATTTTGTAAAAGGAAAAGTAACGGTTGATTTATAGGGTCAAGACCCCTTCAACGGCTGATTGTCCGCCGTCGCCTCCTAGTTTCACATTAAGGTTCACCACTGACGAGTCCTAGTAGAGAACACAGCTACACGATGCAGTTTAGTTCTTTGTCTGGCTCTATTCTATGTTATCCTAATTAGTAATTAGAAATAACACCATACACAGCGATTCAAAAGGAAACAACGTCAAACAAACTAAAAAGACACATGCTAAAAATCTTGAATTGATATATTTACACAAAAGATCACAATGGTACCTCATAGTCTATCATATAGATTAACACCATTCAGGTTACATAAAATTTTACAAATCTCACTAGTTTCAAATAGCCTTTAGACTTGTAACGTTACGATAAAAAAATTCCCGAGTATACATAAGGTCAATGCAGCCCAATAAAAATGTTTAACAGTGAATGGCTCATCACATCCATTGCACCGAGGATTATCTTCGCTTTCCAATATATATGAATGCGTAAGGTGTGTATGGCCCATCCGAAGACGAGCAAGAACAACTTCGACTCGGTGATTGTCTCTATGGCATGGAGACCATTTACCGATGATAACTTTTACGGAGTGCAATTCATTTTTGGTATATGTATTCTATTCCTAGTCCAGAAAAATACTATATGGGATGACATAAAATTTCCTGACACAATGTCGCTCTACAGCAAACTTGATTTTCGAAAAACTCAGCAGTGAATACAAAGTTTAAACAGGAATTTGATCGATTTAAGTTGTCTTTTAACGAATAAAGGAATATAGAGTTTTTCTTCAGATTCATCCATAATGCTTCAAAATATTTTCACAAAAAAAAATCTGTTGGACTCACAACTATGTTTAGAGTCGTTGGAAAGTGCTTTATTTTGAATTTCTTTTATTTCATTGTTTTTTCATTTACCACCTTTGTTAAGGAATCTTCAAGATTGAACTATCAGGTATATACGAAAAATCTAAATTTATTGGATCAGGGGGCTAATGTGCCTCTCCATCTAGATTTTGACATTTTTTCGATAACATGGTTTCACCCGTTAGGCCTTAACATCACTGACGAGTCTCTGAAGGACGACACGACTTTGTGATGCAGTTTAAATCATAATTTGGATACACAAAATTATCTTTCATCATTTTTACAAATCGTTTTTATACTTATATAATTAATTAAAAACCAAGCGAATACCGACATGATAACACAATATTTATTCACTTCACAGCAATACATGAAAAGAAGATTTTTACGGAAGCATTTGTTTAAATAAAGAAACTGTGAAATTGTGATTTTATCGTACGAAGGATTGATCGTATTCTGCTGTTCTGATGACAAATGTTATAAAAATCACGTATACAACAAATCTCCACGAGCACAGTATGCAGTTGATGGCTAAAAGTAATACTGACCATCAATATTTAAATGTGAATATGTTAACCGTTTGTTGAACTCTCATTACAGTTTCACTAATTCATAACGCTTCTTGTCCTATTTCGTCGTGTAATATTACAGTAATGAAAGTTTCTGTCGCAGTTCGTCCCAGAAATTGTCTATGTCGTTTTCTTCCTCTGGATAAGTGATGGTTGAACAGTATTTATACGCACCAGTCACATACTCCGGAACTCGACGGAAGTCTATATCTTTAAATATCATTACCAGACAGTCGCACTTGTTTCGATTCACAACACGCTCCTTAATACAAGTGTTCAATAGAAATTCACACCAGTTATCCATTATAAACTCCTCAGTTATCACAAAGACAAGTTTCTCACAATTTGGAAGACATTCTGATAGCTGTCTTAATTGGTACATTTCTTGGGAGAAGTCTCTCTCTTGCCAGCAAAATCGCACGCCGTGTTCAACCTCAAGTTCTTCAATTTTTGGGAAAAACGAATTGCGACTCCACCAGTCATCCTCCGAAAATACAATAAATGCTTTATACATATAATTCATTACACCATTAACTGGTGGTGCTTGTTTGTTTATCTTTCTCCAGAAATAATATTGTATCTTCCATCTATATTTAAAAGAAAATGCCGAGCTAACCAGAAACAGGAGTAATATACTTATTCCTGAAATTGCAAAAACTAGCCAAAAAGACTCGTTTTGACAACTTCCCAAGTAGAGTTGATAATTGTCATTGACATGACGAAGCATGACGACGGAACCGTTGGGTAGGATACAGGAGTAATTGTTGTGATGATCGAGCATTACCCTGGTGTCGCAAATCCAAAACACAAAGTCCAATGTGTCGCACGTGCACGCAAAGGGATTCCCATTCATTAGCATTTTAATGTTTCTTTCGGGCCGTGAGTTCATCAATTCCAGCCATGTCCTCGTCTTTTTCCTAAGATATGTCAATTTGTTGTGCCGAAGATCAATTTCCGTGAGATTTCTCAAACTGTAAAGACCGTCTGGGAAATCACTGAAGAAGTTCCAAGATAAAATTAAATTATTGACCCCCTCCAGGCCCTGTACACTTTCCTCTTCTAGTGTGTTTAAATGGTTCCATGACATGTCTACCTCTTCTATCTTTTTAACATCTTTGAAAACATAATTTCTGTTACTGAAAGCGTGATCTAAATTTGCATTCTGAATGACCAGTCGATGAACCCATGTCAGGCTACCTAACAAAAGTCGTCCTGATGTTGCGAAATCCATACCGGATACGTTCATGTACTTAATACGTCCTCCTCTGATACGGAAGTCGGTGTTTAAAAGAGTTGTTTGAGAAACATCTAGTAAATATAACTCAGGAGAGCTAGACAGATCAAAGTCGCAGTCCAGATAAAACGGAAAGACAAGATGTGACAAACGTAAATAACGCATATTTTGTCCAAATTTAAAAGGCATCACACATCGAAATGACGATTGTTTCTGTGGGGCTGGTAATTTTTTTACGTCATCATTCATCTCTTTTGGAAATTTTATTGCCACATACGAATAATCGAGCTCTTCAAGATGAATACTCTTTGTATAAAACGTCATTACACTTAAGGCAAAATGGGGAAAGGTGAAAATAAAGTTGTTCTCCGATAATGAGTACCGCTTTAAGCAGCTAAAATCGTCAAATGATTCTAATGTGCCGACTTCTATTTCGACAATTCCATTGTTTCCTACGTTAATATCTTCCACGCACAATTGTCTGTAGTATCTAGTCATCTCCGTTGTCACTTTAACAGTGTAATCAACGTTATACATCCATAGCAATATAAAAGGATTTACATTATACAGGTTCAACACTTCCATTTTTCGAACTCGATTACTGCTGTTTGTTGTTATGGTTAAACCGTATAGAATATCCATGGCAACTGGAAACGTTATCGAGGTGTAAGAAAGATCGAGATACTGAAGTGATGTGAAATATTGTAAGAATGCAGTTTCAATTTTCACAAAATATCGATTATTAACTTGACAATTCGACATATCTAAATAGGTCAACAATTCAAGGTTACGAAAATTTCTAAACGTATCATTTGCAATGTGCATCAATACACAATCCTTGAAAACAAGTCTGTTGAGCTGTGTCATGTTTGTAAATCCCGGTCCAAATATAGGATTTGGTAAAAGGTCCACACGAAGTTCCTGAAGATATGTTAACGATCCAAAAACAGTGTCTGGATAAATAGCGTCGTCGTTCAAAGGTGAATTAGTATTGAATGATAAATCCAAAACCCTGAGTTTAGGATTAAAAGTAAATCTGATTTCGCCAAATTGCTCTTGTAAAATGTTTATTTTATTGTGTCCAACCGAAAGATTCCGAAGAAGTTTAAGACCAGAAAATGTGTCCTTATCGATGTGTTTGATTTTATTCCAATTTAAATTTAAAAATTTCAGTTTTGTTAGATTTAAGAACATGGTTTTGTCCAATTGTGTTATAACATTTCCTGATATATCCAAATCTTCTGTGAGATTCGAGAGGGGTGGAATATGATCGTAACCACGATTTGAACAGTCAGCTTTTGTCTTGTCTATTGAAACCTCACAAGGAAGGCAACATGAAAGGGAGATAATCAACGAAACTTTGAATAACACCAGCTGCAGATAAGTGTTCATCTGAAAAAGAAAAATATAAAAATGAAAATATTCAATCCAACGTTCAAAAAATTTTCGGGATATCATGTTTAAACTGAGGATTATTATTGTATCAGGGCTAAGCTTGCAAACGTCAGAAACATCAGTACGTGTCACGCCCAATATCATGCTATTATTTTCATGAACACGCCACCTTGGTCTCAACCGTAACATTTTCACCTACCTTTGTTGTCACCAAGTAATTAGTGAGATGGTGTCCGGCTCCCGATTAAAAATATCAGTCCCTAACTTACATAGAGCTTTCAGTTTACGAAATAAGCTCGCCTTACCGGCCTGTTTGTGCTATGTCATATGATTAAATTACTCTGATAGTTTAATCTTTAATATTACAATATGAATGGAATTCCCGGAAATTCCATGGTCCGTTGCATCATGTATCTGCAAGTGTTGGACTAGATGGGGAATTCACCTGGAATAACTTCACATATGTCCCCAAACATCACGTGTGTGCGGATCAATATTTAAGCGTCATTATGTTATGTATTTATATGTTATATTGTCAGAATCGTTTAGATAATACTATAAATGTTGTGAAAATAGCATTGATCATATTCAGACATAGCCAGCTTACATTATGTCCCAACATACAGGAGAAAGATACTGACCCGTTTCGTCCAATAAATGTATTTTATCATACTATTTTTGCTAGGTTTGTCTTACCTGCATGGGTAAATAATTGTGTTAAGAGATTACTGTGTTACTTTATGAAGACATTATAAGTGTATGTCTGTAAGAAAATGGGATCACGTAACATTATATAACATATCCATAATTTATCTACACTACACGCGTATGTTTATAGTTACTCAAAAATGTTTTTCGCTAGGATAAACATGATTATTGCAAATTGTATAAATTTATAATTATTAAAATTATAATCAATCTATAAGCATGCAAAGTGTGTATACATTGGATCTTGCTATTTTTTCAGGATTTTTATGAACACGCCACCTTGGGTTCTGGCTTGTTAACGTTAAAAAACAGAAATGGAACCGTTAACATTTTCACCTACCTTTGTAGTCAACAAGTAATTAGTGAGATGGTGTCCGGCTCCCGATTAAAAATATCAGTCCCTAACTTACATAGAGCTTTCAGTTTACGAAATAAGCTCGCCTTACCGGCCTGTTTGTGCTATGTCATATGATTAAATTACTCTGATAGTTTAATCTTTCATATTACAATATGAATGGAATTCCCGGAAATTCCATGGTCCGTTGCATCATGTGTCTGCAGGTGTTGGACTAGGTGGGGAGAATTCACCTGGAATAACTGCTAGCTTCTATTTACATATGTCCCCAAACATAACGTGTGTGTGCATCAATATTTAAGCGTCGTTATGTTATGTATTTATAAGCGAGCCCATATCCTTACTGTTATATTGTCAGAATCGTTTAGATAATACTATAAATGTTGTGAAAATAGTATGATTATATTCAGACATAGCCAGCTTACATTATGTCCCAACATACAGGAGAAAGATAATGACCCGTTTCGTCCAATAAATGTATTTTATCATACTATTTTTGCTAGGTTTGTCTTACCTATATGGGTAAATAATTGTGTTAAGAGATTACTGTGTTACTTTATGAAGACATTATAAGTGTATGTCTGTGTAAGAAAATGGGATCATGTAACATTATATAACATATCCATACCGTAGCTACACTACACACGTATGCTTTTAGTTACTCAAAACTGTTTATGCTAGATCGAAAAAGAATGAATGTCAGACCTATCGGCGTAATGTATCACATGGCAGGAATGGTGTCCTAGTGGAATATATCATTTAGGACCAGCAAGAATTAAGAAATCTTAAATGAATACAATAGACTTACCTTTCGCCGTATGGGTAAAGCATTACAGCGGCTCACGGTTCAGATCAAAAACACATATACAATGACGCGCTCTATATATAACTATTGCAGCCTGCGCTGTGTCACGGTTCTATATATAAACTTTCGACATATGTGTTTTAACCATGCCGGGACAATAGAATTGTTGAACTAAGCGGCAACTTTTAAACCGCGTGGGATATTAATATCAAACCACCCTGATAAAATCGGCCATATTTCTCTTTCGTTGTTATTAATTAACGTGTTCCAGGCTTTGGCACATTACTGTAACCATGAGTGAGTCACCAACATGTTTTCAATTACCTGACATTTTGTGTTAATAATATGGTCAAGGGGACATATTCCTGAAACATTTTATTAATATTTTTATGTCTAAATCAAAGATGAAATATAGGAGGACGAAACCATAAAATCATATTTTTTTTATTTATACATATGTAATTATATATTGAACAGTGAACGATTTTAATGTATATGGTCTACATAACATTTAGCCCACAATCACACAAATAAAGTCGTACTACTATTATCGTTATCAGCACCATCACACATCAATATCAGCACCTTCACAGCAGCAAGCCATGATCACACATCAGTGTCGGCAACATATCACACGTCTACGAAAGGAAACAGTCATCGTTATCATCAGCACCACCGCACATCAATATCAGCACCTTCACAGCAGCAAGCCATGATCACACATCAGTGTCGGCAACATATCACACGTCTACGAAAGGAAACAGTCATCGTTATCATCAGCACCATCGCACATCAATATCAGCACCTTCGCAGCAGCAAGCTATGATCACACATCAGTGTCGGCAACATATCACACGTCTACGAAAGGAAACAGTCATCGTTATCATCAGCACCATCGCACATCAATATCAGCACCTTCACAGCAGCAAGCCATGATCACACATCAGTGTCGGCAACATATCACACGTCTACGAAAGGAAACAGCCATCGTTATCATCAGCACCATCGCACATCAATATCAGCACCTTCACAGCAGCAAGCCATGATCACACATCAGTGTCGGCAACATATCACACGTCTATGAAAGGAAACAGTCATCGTTATCATCAGCACCATCGCACATCAATATCAGCACCTTCACAGCAGCAAGCCATGATCACACATCAGTGTCGGCAACATATCACACGTCTACGAAAGGAAACAGCCATCGTTATCATCAGCACCATCGCACATCAATATCAGCACCTTCACAGCAGCAAGCCATGATCACACATCAGTGTCGGCAACATATCACACGTCTACGAAAGGAAACAGTCATCGTTATCATCAAAACCATCGCACATCAATATCAGCACCTTCATAGTAGCAAGCCATGATATCAGTGCAGTATCGGCAACATCACATTAACAACACATCAGTATCGACAACATATGACACGTTTTAGCAAAGCAACAGTCATCGTTATCATCAGAATATTCACAGTACATCATGTAACCATCAGCATCTTTACATATCAACTTCATCATGCACCATCATCAGAAATATCACACCTTCTAGAAAGTGATAACCAACATAATTAACCTTAACATCATCATTATAAATCAGCAACATCATCCTATCAACGTCAGACACATACCAACGTCAGACACATACCAACATCAGACACATACCAACATCAGACACATACCAACATCACCAGCATCACACGTCTTAGAGAAGCGACAATCATACTAGTATTAACAACACACTTCAAACATCAGCAAAATCACATCTCTTCAAAGACAATAATCATCGTCATCATTTGCATTATCAGGTCCCAATTATCAACACCATTTTACACTCGTAGTAAAGCAGCAATAATCATTCATCAACTTCATCACATTCACTCAAGCTGCACTAAACATCGCAATCGCAAACATCATACGCACGCAAGCTGCACTTAACATCAACATCATCATACGCACGCAAACTGCACTTAACATCAACATCATCATACGTAGGCAAGCTGCATTTAACATCAACATCATCATACGTAGGCAAGCTGCACTTAACATCAACATCATCATACGTAGGCAAGCTGCACTTAACATCAACATCATCATACGCACGCAAGCTGCACTTAACATCAACATCATCATACGTAGGCAAGCTGCATTTAACATCAACATCATCATACGTAGGCAAGCTGCACTTAACATCAACATCATCATACGTAGGCAAGCTGCACTTAACATCAACATCATCATACGTAGGCAAGCTGCACTTAACATCAACATCATCATACGTAGGCAAACTGCACTTAACATCAACATCATCATACGTAGGCAAGCTGCACTTAACATCAACATCATCATACGCACGCAAGCTGCACTTAACATCAACATCGCAATCATCATACGCAGGCAAACTGCACTTAACATCAACATCATCATACGCACGCAAGCTGCACTTAACATCAACATCATCATACGTAGGCAAACTGCACTTAACATCAACATCGCAATCATCATACGCACGCAAGCTGCACTTAACATCAACATCATCATACGTAGGCAAACTGCACTTAACATCAACATCGCAATCATCATACGCAGGCAAACTGCACTTAACATCAACATCATCATACGTAGGCAAGCTGCACTTAACATCAACATCGCAATCATCATACGCAGGCAAACTGCATTTAACATCAACATCATCATACGCACGCAAGCTGCACTTAACATCAACATCATCATACGCACGCAAGCTGCACTTAACATCAACATCATCATACGTAGGCAAACTGCACTTAACATCAACATCGCAATCATCATACGCACGCAAGCTGCATTTAACATCAACATCATCATACGTAGGCAAGCTGCACTTAACATCAACATCATCATACGTAGGCAAGCTGCACTTAACATCAACATCATCATACGTAGGCAAGCTGCACTTAACATCAACATCATCATACGTAGGCAAGCTGCACTTAACATCAACATCATCATACGTAGGCAAACTGCATTTAACATCAACATCATCATACGTAGGCAAGCTGCACTTAACATCAACATCATCATACGTAGGCAAACTGCACTTAACATCAACATCGCAATCATCATACGTAGGCAAGCTGCACTTAACATCAACATCATCATACGTAGGCAAGCTGCACTTAACATCAACATCATCATACGTAGGCAAGCTGCACTTAACATCAACATCATCATACGTAGGCAAACTGCACTTAACATCAACATCATCATACGTAGGCAAGCTGCATTTAACATCAACATCATCATACGTAGGCAAGCTGCACTTAACATCAACATCATCATACGTAGGCAAACTGCACTTAACATCAACATCATCATACGTAGGCAAGCTGCACTTAACATCAACATCATCATACGCACGCAAGCTGCACTTAACATCAACATCATCATACGTAGGCAAGCTGCACTTAACATCAACATCGCAATCATCATACGCACGCAAGCTGCACTTAACATCAACATCATCATACGTAGGCAAACTGCACTTAACATCAACATCATCATACGTAGGCATGCTGGAATCATTAATTATCATCATCATCCATGCACAGGCTTCCTCAGTCATCATTTGGTTAACATAAGTATGGACTCATAAAAACAGACGTTATCATAATCGACAATATTGTTGCTATGGTATACATTATCCTCCAATGAATTTGTAGATATACTTGCAAACAAAAAATGATAAAAAAACACAGTTATCTAAACAGCATAAAACCAGTACACCACTTAAGATAAATATTCCTATTAGTATAGGCACATAAACAAAAACATGTGTTGGGGTTTTTTGGGGTTTTTTTTTTTATTTATTTATTTATTTATTTATGTAATGGAAAGAGAGGGGGAGGGAGCGAGAAAGATGGACTTACAGAGACAAAACTATGTAAATAGTATAAACAGGGTAACAATCAAGTATAAGCATCACCATTATTTTTATATTTATCAATTTTGGCAAGAAAAACTGCATGTCTAAGGGGAATGTTTTTTTAAAGAAGGAATATTTTGTTCGATTCTGTTTCCATTCTTTATTGATTCTTTCTAAATAAGGGGTATCCCTTTGCTGTAGCAATACATTTTTTAACCTTATAATGATCCTTAATTATATTTACCAATGCGTTTATGTCAAGAGAATTCTTAAAACCTCTTGAATTATAAATATTATGTTTAATTTTAATGCTAATTTCATTAACAATTTTGCGATACATATTCCTAAGTGGCCAGAAAACAAAACTAAAGGACTTTTTTGTTGATAGTGAATGGGATTAGTAGTGCTTCTAAGAAAATTTCGAAGCTTAGTAAAAGATTTTTGACTTTTGCACATTCCCACAGTATATGTGTTGTTGTCTCAGATTAACAGAAAGCACATGCTTGACTATCAACAGAGTTTGTCTTCTATTAAAATGAATTTGTAGTCAAATTGTAATGTAGAACTCCATACTAAAAACTACTGAAGTTTAGAATTATTAGTAACTTTAAATGGTAACGAGAAAATGCCTGTCCATGTGGAATCTTCGAGATTAAACAGTTCAGCCCATTTTCTTTCTACCTGAAGGAATTTCATTATTTATTATATAATATTTATAGATGTCATTTGTTTTGTTTTATTTTGTTTTTGTTTGTTGTCTTTTTTAAAGAAAAACACTCTTATGTTGTAAGGAATAAAAGCAAAGAAAAATGTGAATTTTCATTCACATCGAAGTCAAAATTCTTCTTAATAGTGTTTAAGATTCCTTGAAATCTAAGGACTATACCATACTTTTTCAGAAAATTCATTAGAAGAAGAGAAAGTTATTGTTTTGTTATCTTGGGACATATCATTTATTACTCTAACACCTTTTTTGAAAACCAATTTTTGTAGAAAACAAAATTCCCACCAATAATCACACTTGAGTTGTACCAGAGAGGGTTTTTCATAGGAGAGAGTTGTCTCCCTTTCACCGTATACTAAACCATCAGTAATTTTCCCATGCTTTAAAACCAGCGCTCCAAAACTTATTTTTACATTTTTCCTGACAATTTTTATATACTCACTTCCACCGTTCACTGCAAGATCAACATTGATTTCTTTTAAATAAAATTTTCTACTAACTTGTAGATGATCTTAAGAAGAATTTCCTAATCCAACCTAGTTACAATGCATTTATGAAATCTGAAATATTTATCATCTTTAAGCCTCCTTCAAATTAGTTTCTTTTATTATAATACTTCTTTTTATCAGTTTTCCCATTCCACAAAAAGTTGAAAATAATTGTATTTAAATGATAAATGAAATTAAAACCTGGATTTGGAAGGGCATTGATAAATGATTGAATTGTGGAAATACAAATGACTCAATACTATGTATCTTTCCAATTGGAAACAGTAATCTTCAACATCAAGCCTTGATTAGAGATTTTAGCTTTATCATTTTTGTCATAATTTAGTTGAGGAATTGCATGCAAGTTAACACTAAAATCAATCCCTAATAGAGAGAATTTATCCCTTCACCACTGTAAATTCAGGTCTAGTAAAAAAAGTGTCTGTACAATAGCTCTAACTACCAATTCAAATCATTTGTGTTTTGCTGGTATTAATTGTAACCAGAAACATTTACAAAACAAGTTAAGCTCAGTTATAGATTCACGTAAATATTTCTCTGATCCATCAAGTAAAGAAGAATCGTCAACGTACTGGGATAAAAGTATTGGAAAATCACCCACAGAGATCCACTTTACTGGGACAGAAGTATTGGAAAATCACCCACAGAGATCCACTTTACTGGGATAAAAGTATTGGGATAAAAGTATTGGCAAATCACCCACAGAGATCCACTTTACTGGGATAAAAGTATTGGAAAATCACCCACAGAAATCCACTTTACTGGGATAAAAGTATTGGAAAATCACCCACAGAGATCCACTTTACTGGGACAGAAGTATTGGAAAGTAACCCACAGAGATCCACTTTACTGGGACAGAAGTATTGGCAAATCACCCACAGAGATCCACTTTACTGGGACAGAAGTATTGGGACAGAAGTATTGGAAAGTAACCCACAGAGATCCACTTTACTGTGACAGAAGTATTGGAAAATCACCCACAGAGATCCATTTTACTGGGACAGAAGTATTGGAAAATCACCCACAGAAATCCACTTTACTGGGACAGAAGTATTGGAAAATCACCCACAGAAATCCACTTTACTGGGACAGAAGTATTGGAAAATCACCCACAGAGATCCATTTTACTGGGACAGAAGTATTGGAAAATCACCCACAGAGATCCACTTTACTGGGATAAAAGTATTGGAAAATCACCCACAGAGATCCACTTTACTGGGATAAAAGTATTGGCAAATCACCCACAGAGATCCACTTTACAGGGACAGAAGTATCGGCAAATCACCCACAGAGATCCACTTTACTGAGATAAAAGTATTGGAAAATCACCCACAGATATCCACTTTACTGGGACAGAAGTATTGGAAAATCACCCAAAGAGATCCACTTTACTGGGACAGAAGTATTGGAAAATCATCCACAGAGATCCATTTTACTGGGACAGAAGTATTGGAAAATCACCCACAGAGATCCACTTTACTGGGATAAAAGTATTGGAAAGTAACCTACAGAGATCCACTTTACTTTGACAGAAGTATTGGCAAATCACCCACAGAGATCCACTTTACTGGGACAGAAGTATTGGAAAGTAACCCACAGAGATCCATTTTACTGGGACAGAAGTATTTGAAAGTAACCCACAGAGATCCATTTTACTGGGACAGAAGTATTTGAAAGTAACCCACAGAGATCCATTTTACTGGGACAGAAGTATTTGAAAGTAACCCACAGAGATCCATTTTACTGGGACAGAAGTATTGGAAAATCACCCACAGAGATCCATTTTACTGGGACAGAAGTATTGGAAAATCACCCACAGAGATCCACTTTACTGGGACAGAAGTATTGGAAAATCACCCACAGAGATCCACTTTACTGGGACAGAAGTATTGGAAAATCACCCACAGAGATCCACTTTACTGGGACAGACGTATTGGAAAATCACCCACAGAGATCCACTTTACTGGGACAGAAGTATTGGAAAATCACCCACAGAGATCCATTTTACTGGGACAGAAGTATTTGAAAGTAACCCACAGAGATCCATTTTACTGGGACAGAAGTAATGGAAAATCACCCACAGAGATCCACTTTACTGGGACAGAAGTATTGGAAAATCACCCACAGAGATCCACTTTACTGGGACAGAAGTATTGGAAAATCACCCACAGAGATCCACTTTACTGGGACAGAAGTATTGGAAAATCACCCACAGAGATCCACTTTACTGGGATAAAAGTATTGGAAAATCACCCACAGAGATCCACTTTACTGGAACAGAAGTATTGGAAAATCACCCACAGAGATCCATTTTACTGGGACAGAAGTAATGGAAAATCACCCACAGAGATCCACTTTACTGGGACAGAAGTATTGGAAAATCACCCACAGAGATCCACTTTACTGGGACAGAAGTATTGGAAAATCACCCACAGAGATCCACTTTACTGGGACAGAAGTATTGGAAAATCACCCACAGAGATCCACTTTACTGGGATAAAAGTATTGGAAAATCACCCACAGAGATCCACTTTACTGGAACAGAAGTATTGGAAAATCACCCACAGAGATCCATTTTACTGGGACAGAAGTAATGGAAAATCACCCACAGAGATCCACTTTACTGGGACAGAAGTATTGGAAAATCACCCACAGAGATCCACTTTACTGGGACAGAAGTATTGGAAAATCACCCACAGAGATCCACTTTACTGGGACAGAAGTATTGGAAAATCACCCACAGAGATCCACTTTACTGGGATAAAAGTATTGGAAAATCACCCACAGAGATCCACTTTACTGGAACAGAAGTATTGGAAAATCACCCACAGAGATCCATTTTACTGGGACAGAAGTAATGGAAAATCACCCACAGAGATCCACTTTACTGGGACAGAAGTAATGGAAAATCACCCACAGAGATCCACTTTACTGGGACAGAAGTATTGGAAAATCACCCACAGAGATCCACTTTATATTTTGTTTCTCTTATTCTAATTGTTGATATTTTCGCGCATAATATGAAGGTGTACGATGCGATTTGATTCGCTTTGAAGAAATTTGAAAAGTTCTCTCCTTGATTAATAACCGAAGTGGCATTTTTTTGTGTGCAGAAATTCGACCCATTTCCTCCACAAAGCCCAAAACATTAAGTGTTTTATCTATAAATTCCCATCAAATGTTTTCTCAAAGTCAATCATCAACAGCATTCCCGGTATGTCATATTCTTCAATAAAATGAATAATATCATAACTAAGCCTAGTGTTTTCACCTATGTAACGCCCCGATAAAAAACCAGGTTGATCATTGATGATAAGTTTATCTAGAACAGATTTTACCCTATTTGATCATTGATGATAAGTTTATCTAGAACAGATTTTACCCTATTTGATCATTGATGATAAGTTTATCTAGAACAGATTTTACCCTATTTGATCATTGATGATAAGTTTATCTAGAACAGATTT